TTACAGAGTGGAGCGTTCCACGATGACTTCTTCTTTTCAATTTCGCGATTGCAACCAGAGACCAGCGGAAAAGCTGGTAGATTACGCAAATCGTTTGAAACGTGCGGCAGTAGCCTGCGACTTTGGGTCGCATTTAGACAGATCCCTAAAAGATCAATTTATGGCAGGAGTCTACAGTCAGGAGATCAAGCGGACGATTCTGACTAGTCCTGACAGCAAGACGAAGAAGTTTCAGGATGTGCTGGATATCGCTTTACGGGAGGAGCGCGCCATCATGTTTGCTGAGCAGCTTACTCCAGGTACTACTACTAGTACTAGATCAACATCTACGCCGTCCGAGTCAGTCAACAAGATGAGAGCTACCACTACCAGTAAATCCAAGTCAGCAAGTGCATCTAGAAAGCCAAATCACTCGCAGGACCAGAAAGGGTCAAAGTCGACGAAGGGCAAGGTTTGTTATCGTTGTACATCTGATTTGCATATGGCTGACAAGTGTCCTCATCGATCTACTACTTGTCGATACTGCAAGAAACGAGGACATCTCGAAAGAGCCTGCATCACCAAGCAGAAACGAGGTGAAATTCACCACGTGGATGACGAACCTGATGATCGAGGTGAGATCGTTTCTGATTGTGATGTTGATGATATGCCTATCTACAAGATTCGATCGGGTAGTGGAAAACACCCTCCGTATACTGTAATGGCGGAAATCAATGATGTTTGTTCACCAATTTGCATGGAAATCGATACAGGTAGTGCTGTATCCATCATCACCAAATCTGATTACGAGAAATTGGGTGCACCAGTGTCGTCTCTTGTAACTCAATCAGTCCAGCTCATTGGGTTTTCCGGTTCCATCATCCCCTGTTTAGGTGAAGGGAAATTTCCAGTGTCAATAAATGGGCAAAAGCACACTGTTCTCTTGCGCATTGTCGATACAAATGGTCCATCTCTGTTGGGCAGAGATCTTCTCTCACTTTTCAAACTAGAATGGAGGGAAATATTCTCGGTGAAGTCTGAAATTGATAATGCTCTTATACGCGCAAAGCTGCAGGAGGAAATGCTTCAGAAATTTGAGAGTTTGTTTGACACGTCAACTGTCGGCAAATTAAATTCAACTCAGGTCACTTTGCGTGTAAATGATTCAAAACCTGTGTACATGAAGGCTCGTTCAGTACCATTTGCAATCCGGGAGAAATACGAGCAAGGCCTCTCTAAACTGGAGGAGGAAGGTGTAATACGCAAAGTTGAATTTTCGAAATGGGCTTCACCTACGGTTCCGGTTCAAAAACCAGACGGAAATGTACGTATCTGTGCTGATTACTCGCGCACCATCAATGCTAATTCGGATTTAGAAAAATATCCGTTACCTACCATAGACGAAATTCGTGCCAAGTTGAATGGTGGGCAGAAGTTTACGAAGCTTGATTTATCTCAGGCGTACCACCAGCTAGAGCTTGATCCTAAGTCGAGGGGGTATACTACAATCAATACCCACCGTGGTCTGTTTGAATATGTACGTCTACCGTTTGGCATTCATTCAGCAGTCTCCATATTTCAGCGTACTATGGAGACTCTCCTGGCGGGTATCGATGGCTGCATTGTGTATGTAGATGATATTCTAGTCACAGGTCGAAATGATGCAGAGCACAAAAGAAATCTGGAAATGGTTTTGCAGCGGCTACAAGATGCGGGAATGCGTTTGAAAGCCACGAAAACCGAGTTCATGCTACCGCAAGTCTCGTACCTTGGTCATACTTTGAGTGCGAGTGGTATGGCGCCTTCGCCAGGAAGAATCGATGCTATGGTTAATGCCAATGCTCCTACGTCCGTTAGTGAGCTTCAATCGTTTATTGGGTCTGCGAATTATGTTCGCAAATTCATACCCAATTTTGCTCGGATTATGGCGCCACTTTACGCTCTGCTAAAGAAAGATACTGTTTGGAGATGGTCAGATTCTGAACAGACAGCGTTCCTTACGATAAAGAATGCTTTATGTTCCACGGAGGTTTTGGCGCACTATTCGGCGGGTCTGGAGCATGTCTTGCAATGCGACGCATCAGGAACGGGTCTTGGTGCGGTTCTTTTACAGAAAAACGAAAATGGTGATTACCAACCCATTTCGTATGCGTCTCGTCTGTTGAATAAAGCGGAGAGAAACTATTCAAATATTGAACGGGAGTCACTCGCTCTTGTGTTTGGTGCAACCAAATTTCGCCAATATCTCCTGGGAAAGAAATTTGTCCTTGAAACTGATCACAAACCTCTGGTGAAATTGTTCGGCATGCAGGAAGGTGTTCCGTTCCTGGTTTCTTCCAGATTAAAGAAATGGAAGTTATTACTTTCAGCGTATGACTACACCATCCAACACATTGCGGGAAAGGCAAATGTTCTGGCAGATTTCATGTCTAGAAAACCAATTTCTGGAAATCCTTCTACCCCGGAACTAGGTGAAACACGTGTACTTTTCATTGAGGACGAGCTCATTGATGCTCAAGTTGTATTGAATGCCACTGGAGATGATCCAGTTCTAGAGCGTGTTCGTCACTACACTTTGAATGGTTGGCCAGAGCATGTGAAAGAGGTGGAGTTACAGCCGTACTTTGTAAAGCGCTGGGAACTATCTATTGTAAATGATGTATTACTCTGGAATGAACGAGTGGTAATCCCCATGGCTTTGCGCGCGATGCTCTTGAGTGAATTGCACTCGGAACACACAGGCGCTGTACGAATGAAACGTATGGCACGTCGATATTTCTGGTGGCCAAAGATGGATGACGAAATTGAAGATACCACCAAAATGTGCGCTACGTGTCAAGAACAGGCACGCAAACCTAGTAAATCCTATGCTACCTGGTCATGGCCGTCGGGTCCATGGCGTCGTCTGCACATAGACTTTGCGGGTCCATTCATGGGCAAAATGTTTCTGGTGATTGTCGATGCGTATACGAAATATCTGGAAATTGTCCCGATGACACATGCCACATCAACGGGTACTATCAAAGCTTTGAGACGTTTGTTTGCCACATTCGGTCTACCCACTCACATCGTTAGTGATAATGGGACCCAGTTCACTAGTGCTGAATTTACCTCGTTTCTCCAGAAAAATGGAATCGCACACACTCGTTCAGCTCCCGGCCATCCGGAGACAAACGGTCTCGCTGAGCGATATGTCGGTCATTTTAAAGCTAAAATGAAAGCAATGGGAACAGAAGGTGACGACCTAGATACACGACTACAACGATTTCTAATGACATTTCGGTCAACTCCTACGGCGAATGGTAAATCACCGGCAGAAATGCTATTTAATCGCCAACCACGACTACGTTATGATGCTTTGAAAACAACACGGAATGCGGAGGCACAATCTTTCAATCAAAACCAGCATTTGCTACCAGAATACAAACCGGGTGATGCTGTGTTTGCGTTACGTTTTCAAAACCATGGTACAACCTGGGTCCCTGGTGTTGTTCTCTCTATCTGCAGTGCTATGAATTACTCTGTCCAGGTAAATGATGTGGTCTGGAAACGACACCGTAACCAACTCCGGCCACGTTCAATACCACTTTCTCAGTTAGCAGAACAGACACGTTCTGCACCACAGCAGCAACAACTCCAGCCGCAGCAGCAACAACTCCAGCCGCAGCAGCAGCAGCAACAACAACTGTCACCACAACAGCAACAGCCTCAGCCGCAGCAGCAGCAGGTGCCACAGCAGTTGCCGCCTCAGAAGGCTCAACAGCCGACGACTTCACAGCAGAAAGAGCAGCCCATGCAACAGTCGCAGGATGAGCAGGGTCAACAGTCGTTAGCTTCTACAGCCCCAGCTGATGCTGTACCTGTTGACCGGCAGGTGACTCGATCTGGTCGGTCAGTCGTAAGACCAGCTCGGTATAACGGATGAGACATTTTATACATATAGGATATGTAATTATTATATTATTTGCATGGATTGATTGAGATGATCGTGAATGCATGTACGTGGTTCTCTTGTTGCATTTGTATATATCAGTATAATGCTCTGTATAGTACATACCACACATAGAACATTGAACTTTGATAATTGGCACGTCAGACGATGGTACATTATTACATTGTCTGTTCTATGCTATTGTTCCTTGTCATGAAAATGTTTTGTTTTCGGTGTTACCTCTTTTTGCGAGGGGGATATTGTTATATATGCACTCTGATGTAATATATTATGTACTCTGTATGCATTTGTATATACTCATTGCGCATGCTCTGAATCATGGTCTTACTCTACATGTATCCATGCCGGCTGGTTGACTCTGGTGAGCTGCGTGTGAGACTGCATGTAGGGTGTACGTGGATACACAACAGGAGGGTTGCAGGAGATCAGGTGGGCACGGAAGATTGGTGCGGAGCCTGCGGCCGTACAATAGTTCGGCGGGCGAATAGCCGTTGGCCAGGGGTGTGGAGCGATACGCTAGGAGGGACTGCTGTAGATCACCTGGCGCACGGATGAGTCGTTTGGCAGTCTGCACGGCGCGTTCTGCTTCGCCGTTGCTTTGAGGATGCTTCGGGCTGCTGGTCCGATGCGTGATGTTGCACGACGACATAAACTGTGCAAAGGCGTCGGAAGCGAACTGTGGCCCGTTATCGCTGACGAAGATGTCCGGATAGCCGTGGGCAGCAAATATGCTCTTCAGATGAGTAATGACGGCCCGTGACGTAGTCGATGAGAGACAAGCGACATCAATGTAACGGGAGAAATAGTCGACGGTAATCAGGTACTGGCGGCCGTCGACATCACAGAGATCCGATGCGATACGCTGCCACGGACGCTCGGGGAACGGAGTTGTCTGAAGAGGCTCTGGAGACTGATGACGCTGCTTGATACAGGTAGTGCACTTGGCGACGTACGCCTCGATGTCGGCAGAGATACCTGGCCACCACGACGAGAAGCGGGCACGGGCTTTACTCTTCGTGACACCTTGGTGACCATCGTGCAGCTTCTGGAGGATCTCAGGCTGTAGCACGGACGGAACAACCAGGCGAAAGCCGTGGCACAATACACCTTGCATGTGAGACAACTGGCCTCGCTCACGATGGAACGGCTTGATGTCGTCAGGGACGGTAGCAGGCCAGCCATGGATGACGTAGCGCATCACACTGGATAACACGGGATCTTCAGACGTAGCCTTGGCTAGGTCGGCGAGAACGGATGGACTCGTGAGATCTTCGGCAGTGGTTGATAAAACCATGCCGATGTCGTCTTGCAGAACGTTGTCAACTGATGCCGATGCTGGCGCTCGTGAAAGCGTGTCAGCCACCACCAGATCCTTGCCGGGAACGTGTATGGCTTGGACTTCGTACCGGAGGAAGCGGAGCAGCATTCGTTGGCATCGGATGGGGACCTTGTCCAGGTCTCTGGTGTTGATCAGTGGCACTAGCGGCTTGTGGTCCGTCTGCACGATGAACCTGGGAGCGCCGAAGAGGTACTGGTCTAACCTCTCGCACGTCCACACCGCTGCGAGGCATTCCTTTTCGATCTGCGCGTAGCCTTGTTCCGTCTTGGTCAGGGAACGGGAGGCGTAGGCTACTGGGCGCCAGTCGCCATCGTGCTTCTGGAGCAGAACACCACCAATGCCATAGCTGCTGGCATCGGCACTGACCATGATGGGACGCTTGGGGTCATAGTGCACTAAGCACGGGGCTGAAACGACGAGCTCTTTCAGCCGACGGAACGCGTCCTGCTGCGGGGAATCCCAGAACCAATCAGTGTCGGTGTGCAGGAGCTGACGGAGGGGCGCTGAGATCGTAGCCAATTCCGGGATGAATCTGGCGACGTAGGTGAAGAGACCTAAGGCACGGCGAAGCTCAGGAACATTCGTAGGCTCCTTGAGGTCGTCAATGGCGGAGACTTTGCTGGGGTCGGGTTTCACACCGGACCCGCTGACGATGTGTCCCAGGTACTTGACTGACGACTGCTTGAGGTGGCATTTGTCGGGGTTCAGAGTGATGCCTGCGTCGGCAAGGACCTGGCGCGTTGTGTCCAGCCGGTGGTCGTGTTCAGCTTCGTTAGCGGCGTGGACCAGAACGTCGTCCATGAATACCTCGGAACCTTTGACGTGGGAGAGGAAGTCCTGCAGGCGTCGCTGGAAGATTTCCGGTGCAGAGGTTATACCGAATGGCATCCGGAGGAATCTGAACCGACCCACAGGCGTGATGAACGTGGTCAGCTTGGATGCAGACTCCGTGAGAGGCACTTGCCAGAAGCCGCTGTTGGCATCCAGCGTGGAAAAGACAGTAGATCCGGCGAGCCTAGCCAGTGTGTCCTCAACTGTCGGAAGAGGGAAGTGCTCGCGCTTCACGTTGCCGTTCAGCTTCTTTAGGTCTACGCAGATCCGTACGCGACCATTTGGTTTACGAACCGGCACCATAGGAGAGCACCAGTCAGAGGGACCCGTTTCCCGGACGATGATGCCCATTTCCTCCATACGTGCGAGCTCTTCTGTGACCTTGTCCTGTAGAGGCAGAGGCACACGGCGGGCAACACCACAGTGGTACGGCGTGGCGTCGTCCACGAGCTTGATATCAGCTGGGGGCCCAACCATACAACCGATGGGCTGTGCTGGCTTGCTGGTACACGATTCTGCTGCATCTAAACGCTGGATCAGGCGAAGTCGGAGGCAGTCTCTGCGACTCAACAGGTTGGTAGATCCAGGACCATCGATAACTACGATCTCCATAGAGAACAGTTCACTCTTGTGCATGGTGTCTGCAGTGAACTGACCCTTGATGGATAGAGGTGCACCAGATGGACCAAGGAGTTTGGTAGTGGATGGTGTGAGTACAGGGCGTTGTACGAGATTCTGATACGTGGAGTGCGTGATACATGATACATCTGCACCTGTGTCGATCTTGAATATCAAATTTGTCGAGCAAACAGGCAGACTTACTGACCAGGCGTCGGTGGACTGGGAAGGACTGGCGTTGGATGACAGCTCTGCAACACCACCCATGAATGGCGACGGGGACGCGAGCAATTCATCTTCGACAGCTCTGGCACCACGCGTGGTTGCTGGAGTGGAAAGACAGACGGCGGCGAAGTGGCCCTGCTTGCCGCATGAATTACACTTGCGACCAAACGCAGGACACCCAGAACGGTTACTCTTGTGCGAACCAGCGTGGCCACACCACGGACATGTTGAAGCTGCAGTGCCGCTCTTCCTCTGCGTGGACGGCGTTGGTGCAGGCTTCGATGGAACGCCGCTGCGCTGGTGGCGACTCCTTGCATCTTGCTGCTTTCCTCCAAAGCGGGATGCAGCATTGACCTGCGGCCTGGCGGCTTGCGCTGCAACGTCTCCGGAAATTTTCTCGGCCTGTCTGGCCCTGAGAACTGCGTCCGTGAGGGTGAGTTTTGCGGGCTCAATCAGCTGCAGCTCCTTGGCGACTTGACGATCCAGAATGTGAGCCACGAGGCGATCTCGAATTCTGTTGTCCTTCTGGTCACCAAAGTCACAGAACTTCGCTGCTGCGTGAAGTTTCCGAACAAATTCTTCCACGGACTCTCCTGGAAGCTGGACGCACTGTTCGAAAATGGTCCTCTGGTGAAACACGTTCAGTGCTGGCGTAAAGTAAGCGTCCAGCTTCGTCATGACCTTGTCATACTTGTCCTCGTCTCCAACGGTGTCGAATACCAGTTGATCGAAGACAGTTTCGGCCTCTGGGCCCAGCGAGTAGAGCAACGTAGAGATTTGCACTTTCTCTTCTTTCCCGTTGAGCTCTGAGGCGAGGCGATATCTCGCAAACCGGCGTTTCCAAGCCGGCCAGGCATCTGGAATGGAGAAATCAAAGTCTGCAGGCGGCGCGAACTTGGCCATTTCTACTCGAAGTGTAGACCTGGTTGACTAACTTCTGACACCATGTTGTGTCATGTACTGACATAAGGAAGTGGTTTATTTTACAGACAGATGAGTGTAGATATAGTGAAGAGTCAGGGAGGCCTTGCCCAGCAGAGCATGGTATCGTGCGTAGCACGGGGGTAGTGAGAGGTCACGTACCGTCTATACATGGCGACAGGCAGGGGAAGGACTATGCCGTGAATGGGTGAAAGGATAACATGATACAGGATAGGACACTACGTACTACGTACTACGTGCTGCGCAACAGCGGCGCACAGAACACTGTGGATATCATGGGCACCCTACGGTTACCAAGGGGACACTGTATAGACCGTGGGCACCCTACGGTTACCAAGGGGACAATGTAGAGATCATGGGCACCCTACGGTTACCAAGGGGACACTGGGGATATGTTACGGTCTTGTGACGAGCCCAGACATGCTAGAGAGGCTGGAATTGCCAATGCCTCTTTCTTCTATGTGAACCCAGACATCTAACTGGATTCCATGATACAAGAGATGTGCGTGTACTCACACGACGAGAGGGATAGATTCATCAGCAGCACACATGTCCAGTGGACTACATCAATTTCGGTGCAGCACGTCAGGATATCCAAGAACTTCTCAATGGTTACAGTGTCCAGCAGATTATCAGGTACAGGATCTGTAAGAGCGGAAGAAGACAACATTGTTCTAAAATTGGGTGATTTTCACAACCCTGAGGAGTCCGCTACCATGCTATGTTTGCCACGTCATTAGAGTAAGGCGCTTCACAGTGCTAAGCCGTCATATAAAGTCATGAAGTCATGAAGCAAAACTAGGGGCTACTCTCCTCTTCAGCGCATGCAACCGGCTGGCGTTGTGACTCTAGTGTCATTGAGGAAATGCTTGTTTGATCAAAGTGACAAGGACATGGAGTTGTGGACGTGTGTTCAGTCAATTTCTTTCTTTCGTGCGGCGTGTTCCCTGGATTTCACAGGGAGTTCTCTTTAGGCAGGTCATACAGAAAAATCGTAAGCTTGGTGCATGACCGGTAAGATTGCTTACTTCTCGAGGTGGACTCTGACCATCACAAGTTTATTCTGGGACTACAAACGCACTGCACTTGTTAACAAATAACAACTCTGACCTGCAGAGAAGATCTGGCCCACAATCTCAGCTGCTGCACGTCCCACAGCGGTACACTTGGAGGATCCGGTAGTCCACATCAAGTCCAACAGACGCTGCATGGTGTGCTTCTGCTCTGCAAACTTCCTAGGTCCTGTCGAGCAATATAGGACGAAATTGCTTGATCAGTACAGTGCATGTACTCATACAGTCAGAGTGTCAGTTCATGCGGCGAGAGTGTATGCTCATACACTCATCTCTTGCTTACTCGGGCGGTCCGGGACCCGGTGCTGCCCATAACTTTCAAATGGATACACATACTTGTACGTTTCAATGATCACATCATTTCAATGAGTAAGAGCCAGGGATCTGGCATATGATGTCACTAATTCCACAAAATTTTGCAAAAGATAAGGAATAGTTGTACTAAAAGTCGCCCAGAGGGTGCCCATAACTTTGAAGTCCGGATAAGAGAGATATAAATGTACAGTGAGACTGTCCCCCGCACCCGCATTGCCTCAATCTTATCCGTTGTGGGAGCCACACCAGCACTAGAAATCGTGTGACCCAGGTAGGAAATCTCATCCATCATGAAATGAAACTTACTGGGATTAAGCTTCATCCCGACCTCCTGTAGGCGACGTAGTACCCTCATCAGGTTGTTGTGGTGTTCATCCTCATTTTTCCCAGTAATCAGGATGCCATCCACATAGACGATGCACCCAGGCAGATCTGCCAATATGGATTCCATTGTGCGTTGGAAAATTGCCACTGCCGAGTGAATGCCAAACGGCAATCTCACGTATTCATACAACCCCTTGTGAGTAGAGATTGTCGTGTACGGCCGAGAAGCTGGATCAAGCTCCAGTTGGTGATAGGCTTGGGAGAGATCCAATTTGGTGAATTTATCTCCCCCCGACAATTTTGCTAACATTTCCTCAATAGTAGGTAGCGGGTAGTGCTCCAAATCAGACTTGGCATTGATTGAGCGAGAGTAATCAGCACAAATTCGGATACTACCATCCGATTTCAGTACTGGCACAGTAGGCGATGCCCATTTGGAGTGCTCAACTTTGCGAATAACTCCCTCTGCTTCCAATTTCTCCAAAGCCTCCTCGTACTTCTCCGTGATAGAGAACGGTACGGGACGCGCCTTGTGGAAAATTGGATCAGAATCATCCACTCTCAGGGTGATTTGAGCCGACAGCTTGCCAACCTGAGTCGTATCGAACAGCTCCTCAATGAGAGCTCTCCTCCTACCATCCATTTGAACATGATTGACATTGACAACCTGTTTCCACGGTAGAGTAAATTGGGACAACATATCCCTGCCCAACAATGACGGACCACCATTATCCACCACACGGAGTAGTGTTGGTTTCTCCACACCATCAATGCTGACATTGAACTTCCCTTCACCAATACATTTGATTTCTGCCCCAGAAAATCCGGTCATGCGTACACTCGGTTTGGTTAAATTTGTACGAGACACCCCAAGTGACTCAAAATCATGGACAGAAATGATTGAAATGCCACTGCCCGTGTCGATTTCCATTACAACAGGAACATCATTCACAGCCATTTCCAATTTGTAGGAGGGAACAGATTTGCTCTTGGGTGATATTGGCAAACTTGGGCTTTTTGGAAAGCTTGAGCCATGAGGAGTTCTCTAGAAACAGTTTCTAGCCTTCATTTGTAAGAGGAACAAAAATCAATCTCCAATTCCATTTTTTGAAGAGAAGTACGGCTCATCGACATCTGGACTAGTTGTAGTCTTTAAAGTTTTGTACTAACTTCATGCTAACACATTTTGAATATACACTCAGGGAAGCCCGGCTCCAGGCAAAGTTTTAGGAAGGCAATATAATCATTGCCAAAGTTGCACCATTTGGAAACTTGTTTCGTTTGCGGTGTGAAAACAGATCTCATTCAGAGACTTATAACTTTTCTTTGAAGATGCTAAGACGCTCCGGTTTTTCACAAATGAATGGTGGGTCTTGCCAGCTTCTTTCGAGACCAAAATGGTGCAGATTCGATCAAAAATATGTGAGTTACAGCTTGTTAAAGTCATCGACGGACAGTTGTCGATTTTTGACTGGCCGGTTGGATACGGGCGGGTGTGGCAGACGACAACCTAAGGGAATGATCCACATCCGCATGCAACCAGTGAAACCTCCTTCCGCAACACTGCCATATCAAGTAGTTATCACATGTGTTCAAAGGAGGCTTTAGACCCCTCGTTTATCATCAAGCAATCTGCACCTTCACACAGCTGTTTTGATCACACTGATCTCAGCAGTGCAGGACCGGCGGAAGCAGTTCTTGATTGGTCCGGTCGTATCATGGTATTGCGCACAGTTGTCATGGTATTGCGCACAGTTGGTGTATGAGAAGGCGGCAGGGACACATGACCTCCTCAGCAGTAAACACGCCGGCGTTGACGACCAAACAGCTGGTGAGGCCATGGCCTGGCCCACCATACCAGTTGCGCCGCCCTTGCGGTGAAGGTCACGAGACTAATGAATTACCTATACGTGCCAGGTTATAACAAACATCTGCTTCCTCACTGAGTGCAGTGGGACCTACTACAGAGGCATCAGAGCTTGAATTGCAAGCACAGTCAGTCAAACACCGGCATTACCCTGATGCATGTACTCACGCGCCTCCATGACCTCTCCCATCACAACCAGCACCCAGTGAAGAATGCTGTCCTTGAAACCTGCATTTAGAGCTTCGTGGATAAAATTGGAGAAAGGACAGCCATCCTCGAGAAGCTTTGCCTTCATACCGCCATCTATAGGACAATGAACAAACCAAGCTGCTGTATCATCGAACATTGCATGTTTGTGTAACCTTGGCCTGAGGTTACAATTACATTCACAGGAGCATAAACTCCCCAGCCCCCAGTCAGGCACCAGTTCCAACCATGACAAGACGTTGAGATCAAAAACTGCAACTCTCAAGTCCAAAACATTCTCAAGAACCGAAAGGAAAAACCAGCATCATAACAGAGCAAGCCAACGAAAGGATACGCATGCGTGTGTGCCTGTGAGTGTGTACGAATGATGTATGCATACATGTCATGAAGTAGAGTCACATTCATAGCTATAATTAAGAGTGGAAATACTACTACGCCAAACGGAACATGTGCAACATGTTACATTTGGACTGCCTGCACTCTTTCCTGACCGTAAGGGAAATTACACAGCAAGAGTCCATGAACATAGAGTCCAAAATACCTCCAGAAATGCTCTTTAGGACAGGACTATATAATTAAAAGTAGGGTTTAAACGGTTAAACCGGATAGCCGGTTATCCGACTGCTAGAATTTAATGATTATGAAACCATTACGTTTGCGGTTTCAAATGGATTTCATGCACATGTATAATGTAACAGTACATGGTGTACAGCGTTGATCTTAATACAATGTGCAAGATAGCAGGAAACTCTCACCCGTCGGCACATGTCTACAATGAAGACTAATGTATTTTCACTGGCGGGAGCTTTTGATTTGGAGAAGGGTGTAGTGACCAGGTCTGGGAAATCGCCTAGTTAGGGCATCGGAGGTTTCCTTGGAAATAACGTACGGTGTGTACGCGTCTGCAAGCGTCATATTTTTTCCTGCACAAAGTGATCATGGATTTGTAAGCACCGTGCATCTAAATAATAAGCAAATTTCTTTGCCTTGCATGTCCAATGCGGAAAAACCAGCTGAGTTGCGGAGATTCTGTGCATGCGGAGATGAGAGTAATAGGACTCCTTGAGATATCCAGTGAAAAAAATCACTTTCATGTGCCGATTTTTCAAAAAGTGAAGAAAATAGATTACTTGGAACGAATTTATCACTTGTCGTGGTTTATTGAGCGGAGGCAATGAAGAAGAGCGGTATCCAGACGCGGCGCTCTACGCGTAGAGTTAGTGTTACTCGTGGACACTACTCTTGTCCTAACCCTTTCCATTCGGATTGGGAAAGCCCTTCCTCGTCCGCCAAGGACACGACAACGAGGAGGGCTGTTCTGGACGTCCTCTCCAGTATTGCTGGACGTCCTGTTTCCTCGATCTGCAGAGGGTGCAGAGCTGTGGCTGACTGAAAGCCGGAAGTCGTCCAGCACGAGCTGTATGCACCACCAAAGACGTCCGCAGACTCGCTCAAGGTTCCATCTCCAAGTGAGGTACCTGCCCCACCTAGCCCACTCCCAGAACACAAACCTGTAGGGTGTGGGGACTGTGAGGAACTAAGGGATTTAGTGGAGAAGTTGCAGAGGGAGGTTGAGGAGTTGCGGGAAGAGAACGTGTTGCTGACGTCAAGGGAATTTTTAGATGAGCTTCTTGCGACAGAGCAGGGTAGGGTAAAGGTAGTTAATGAGATATGTAAGATAGAGAATAAGTTTCTGTTTGCGGAAACTCTAGACGCCATTAGCCACTCAAAGGAGAGTAGGAAAGTGGAGTCATCGCTGGGCGCATCACTTCCCGCTCCTATAATCCCGTAGTAGAGGCTTTTGTGTGTGGCATGACAGCGCCACTTTCAGTGCAGTTATCCGCAGGGGCAGCAAAACGTTGCATGCGCTAACAGGAAGCTATCGAATCGGTTTACGCTGCTAGGAACCTGAACTATTGCTTCCAATTCCACATGGTGTTTCAGGCACTCGGTCGTGTACGCCATCACCCAAAGTAAAACTGATGTGGACATGATTGGCCACTTGGGTCCAGGGAGTAGCTATGCCCTGCTGAAAGATTGGCTTGGCAATCTAGGAGGTGAGCCTGTTAAAGTGCCAAGGGGCTTTGTTACAGTGGGGTTTGACAATGAGCAGCGGCAAATGCGCTCGTATTTATCACGGGGTGCGAATCGGTCAACTTACGAGATTTTGACGAATGTGGTTTACGCGTTGCAACCGGCACAGGACCTGCAATCCGTAGAAAACTATCACATGCGGTACTGGTCCTTTCCGAGTGAGGAACAGCTTTTAGAAGCACTCCGTTGCCCTGCTCCGACCTCTCCAGCATCGCCAATGCACAGCTATTTGGCCAGCTATGTTGGAAACAGAATAGCTGGTCTGGCAATAGAGCACAACAATGGTTGTGACCCAGGAGTAAGATTCCGACAGGAGGAGGAAGCTAGCAGATCTTTCTTAGTTTGCCCTGGGTGTCAACAGCAGCACAAGAAAATAAATGTAAAATGTAGCAATTCGGAGTGTGCTGTCACAAACATCAGGGCTGCTATCGCAGAAGCAGCCGGTCTTTCTCGAGTGTCCACTGAAGTTCTCTGTCTTCCGTCTTCCCCGGCAGTGGGTGCAGGATCGCACTTTGTGTATCGCAATGTAGCAGACAGTGGCGGGGTTAGTGTAGGGCGGGTTAGGGCAACATGCTCAGTGCAGTTAGATTCTCCTCCTGTCCCTCCGGCAAATGTAGGATTGCTCGAGCCTGTCTTTGTGAACCCCAATTCACATGAGGCAGTGCGTGTTCTCCTGAGGGAAATTGGGACAAGTGCAGGTGTGAAGCAATGTGTTGGTGAGCAGGGCTGTAGAGAGTGGCTTACCATTGTCTGTGATGGCCTTCCGTATTCACTGATGCGTACTGTCATTGCACAAAGTAGAGACGAGGCCAGGAAAGCAGCGTACCATGCCGCGGGCATTTTAGATGTAGGTAGCATGAGCATGCGAGTCGTTGGTGGGCTACTGTAGGCAGCACTCTTTGAATGTGTCTGGCAGCCTAGCATCATTGCGCAGCCGTGTAAGCACTCATGTACAGGGCAGGGTAGCGAGTGGGGATTTGAATGTGCCGGGTAGCATCCCTGCAGGTGAGTTCGACTGGGTTGTGTCGCAAAGTGGAGGCCTTCACTGGGAGATGAACTTAATCCAGGCCATTGTCAAGACTCTTTGGCCTTTTGTGTACAAAGAGTTTTGTTTCAGTCAAGGCTACACTTCGCCGCGTCAGCTGGACTGGGCCCACAAGGCCAAGGACCACCACCGCACTTATGATGAACTTAGTCGCTTCACAGATGGATGCATGGATGAGCTGCTACGCCCCTATGTTGTGTCGTGTGTAAGTGATTGTGCCCCCACTGCAGAAGGTTTCTTTGAGTGGGCCAAGAAGTTCGAGAAGAACAAGGTGTTCTCTTGGCTCTTGGAACTGGTGACGACATACTGCTTCACCCTGTTTATGCTCCGCCGTGGTGCACGCCACTGCGATGTCCCTTTGTTCCTGGCAGCACGCAGGACCATCAGCCCGCTGCTGTATGCACGTAACCACACCACCTACCAACTCATCGACATGTTTGAGGAGCAGCAGCGACTTGCCATGCCTGAAGATCTGAGATGTGAACTTGACAAGCATAATGTTCTTGTCACGATCGGGCAGAGGCGACTCCCACCAAGCCCTGGACGCTATTGTGGAAGAGCTAAATGCCAACATTAAGGCCTGGATCTCGGGGGAGAGGGACTCCAACATGTGGCGCCGTGTAGTCCGCAACTACAACCAGTTAGTGAAGCTGCGTGGCAAGGTGTTTTGTACATTGGGGTTGACTGACCCCAAATCAGCCCCCAAGCCACGGCCAGCTTACACCAAGGATCTCGTGGTCTGGCGATCCCGTGTGCGCCAGTTCTTGTGCCCTGATGACTGCTTGGCCTTCCAGGGTCCACTGGAGTCCATGTTTACTGAGTTTGTAATGGACAGTGCTGCTATGGAACTCACCGCTGAGGGGAAACGGCGCCGGCGGAAGATGTGCTGCACCTTTGCAGACGGCAAATCCACGACAGCTCGTGCGACGGCAGCAATGCACTTTGTGACCGTTGAAGAAAGGGAGAAGTCGTCTGGAGATGCACGCCGCTCTGTCTCATCTCTCAAGGCAGAATTCCAGCGGATGCTGCAGTCTCTACCCGAGCAGTCATTGGCGGGCGGCCTCAATGACAGGATGGCCAAGGCGACCTTGCAAGCCGATGTCCTGTCCATCGTCCGGGAAATGTGGAGTTTGGTGTCTGTCAGCTGTGCCCATGCGTGCTCGTCGGACGAGGACAACTAGATTGTCTTCCTGGTGGTGATTGGTTTGGCTATGTTGCTGACGCCTGTCCGGTGAGTACAGCCTCTTCTGTTGTAATTTGTTATATGTGTATCTGCTAATCAATAATTATTGGTCCATTGATTTATGATCAATTTAGGTGCATGTGGATGAGGTAAGTGGCCTTGGATACTGTAAGTTTGTGGACCAGTATGAACTGGTAAGTGTCTTGGAAAGCACTGCTGAGTGTAATTTTAATATTGTTGATTTTTAAAACCCAAGTGCAAACCTGCTTCTGAAAACTACCCTAAACATATCTCTAGTTTATTTTATGTTCTGATCCTGATGTCAGTGATTCATAGGATATTTATTTCAGTTCTTTTAAATACCTTTCTAGGATGATAAATCACTCACATGATGAGAATGTTTTGGCTGATGAAGGGTGGTGTTGCGAATAGTTTTGTCATGTTTGCATCAGGCATCTACACCAGTGTTTTATGCATGTGTTCTTATCTACTCCATGCGCAGATACCAGTTCTTCCTGTAAGTTGCGATTCCACACCGACTCAACGCGAAAGATGAAGATTGTTTTCTACTCAGACACAACGCCATCAGTGTATAGACTTTTTCAACACTTGCTTCTTGCAATGCCGGTGATTTTGACATAAATTATGAGCACCTTCGTTTATCATCTTCATCAACAATGATAAACTATGTTTTTTTACTTAGAATCCCTCGTTTCAACTCCAAATGTTTGCCTTTGATGATATTATGGCATAATGTATTAAAATGGTATTCTCACATGCTACATTCTAGAACAAAATCAGAATAATTGAGCCGCGGCCAGCAAAAAAGGTACTATAGAAAATTACGGAAATTGTTCAGAATGGGAGTTTGAAGTTCGGAATTGAAAAAACTTTTTGAGTTGAGGTGATTTTGTACTTTTTACGAGTTGTCTCCTTGATGAGGATCGCTTCAAGATTATTTGTTTTCATCTTGACAAGGTATCAAGTGGCGCAACTTCATCTTTCAACAAGTGTGAGTGCATGCAAGACGCGTACTGAAAGTAGAGAAGCCACAGAGTGTCATGGCATGCACGAGTAGAAGACGAAGCCTAGAAATTTGCAGTGCGAGCGTTGACGACCTCGCTGCGCTACGGGAACATGACGAACGTTTTTACGGCCTAAACAGCAGTGATACATCGCCGAATTGTCTGGCTCAGACAACTCAGATTCGGACACACCTGCAGAAAAGCGGACCTGTTTACCGCTGGAGTCGCAGAGCAGCGATGACGAGTATTTCAGCGATGCAGAGGATACCACTAGCGATGGAACGAGTGCAGCAAGTGGAGCGGCAGCGGCGATGATACGCGACGCACTTTACATCGGTTCCAAATGCAAAGTGAATCATTGGACCAAGCTACCTCCGGACCAGCTCGAGGAACTGGTATGTAACTTGAGAGCAATGAAGAGGAGTGAGCTGAAGCGGTACGTGCTGGGCGAACTTGCAACGATAATGAAAATATCTAGCCCCAGCGCTGGAGCTGCATCTGCAAGTTCTTGCAAATTTTCGTTCACATATGCAATGCTTGGTGTTGTCGTCTGCCGTGAAGTGTTCCAAGATGCACCTGGATTGTCGCATACTCTACTACGTAAATTACAAGAAGACGCTGAACATCTACTTACAACGCCACCGAGCAGCAAGAGTAAGGGCAAACCCCCGCCCAACATCTTACCTATTGCAGTGGCTAACAATGTTGTGCAGTTTATCAAAAACTATGCATCTCGTTATGGAATGCCACAACCAGCAGCACCCAGGGGACGCGCAGCAAAGGCGCCCACATATCTTCCTGCTAGTTGTACAAAGAAAGAAATCCATTGCCTATACTGTGATTCTGAAGGTGCGCATCCTATTAGTCTGACCACGTTCAAATGGCTTTGGAAAGCTTACTCCAGATATATGCATCATGAAGCAGAGATCTGATGTTTGCGCACGCTGTGAGCGGCTGCGTGAGAATGTCAGGCATGCAAAGACAGAGGAGACCAACCGCCTGGCCATGGAGCAACTTTCAGCTCACATGCAGGAGGCTGATGATGAACGGCAGTACTACAACAAATCAATTAGTGATGCCACGGGTGAGCTAAGCCAAACAACGGATACAGATACACAGGCATCTTCTACCCACATCACTTTCGACTTCGCCCAACAGCTTGAGCTACCTCAGCACACTCGCCAGGAGCAATGCCACAGGCCAAGAAGAGGCCGAGGGCATGGCAGAGGACTTATAACTAACTATAATGCAGAAGTAAGCTGACAGCAATTGCCAATCTGGACACCCTTGTACATATAGTGGTATTTAACCATCCCCAGCACCTTAGAATACGTTCAAACTATCAGGAATGATAATTCACATATGAAGAAGTGTTTTGGAGCAAAAAAACCGTTTTCCAAAATTCACCCCACAGTACCATTTTTGCTGGCTGCGGCTCATATATTAATAATATGTACATGGTGAATCAACTCGTAATAATATATTGTACATGATCATGATGATGGTGAATCAATTTTTACTGGTAAGAGTTTGGGCGTGCTATGCATGCGACTGGAGTAAGGCTAGGCGTAGTGAATGGTAAGGTGGGAGTTGGTGAGGTGGGAGTTGGTGGGGTGGGAGTTGTAGGGGCAGGAGGTGGGGAATTCGATTTTTTAAGGGCTGGGAAGAAGTCGTCTACCGGACTGCTGCTATAAAGGTGCTCAACACCTGATGGCGAGATCACCAGAACTAGCACCTTGGCGTGTGTAGCTTCATGAAGCTCCAAGCGCTGCGTCAAGACAAAGATGCAAACACAAGAAACTTATCAGGTGAAAGTTCGCAATGAACAACAAGGTAGAGGATAGAGGAAACTTACCGCTCGAATCAAGCCATTTTTACGTTTGCTGAGGCAGCTCAGGCGCTTGATTTTGTCGGCGATATAACCAGTTATCTTCCTCTTACGAGTCGACGGGGATGAGGAGTTGAGTGACATTGTACAAAAACGGAAGTAAAACAAAGACTGGACGAAAGGAAAGGAAAGGAGATTTTTTGAAAAAAAGTTCATTTTCCCTTTTGTTATGACCACCGCGTGCTGTGAGACAGGGTCCAGCTCCGCCTTGGCGTTATATTTCTCCTTCTGACGTAATGTTTTCATCACGTGGGCACCGTACATACACATTGTCCTAACTAGGCGATTTCCAGGACTGGTGACGGCTACATGTGGTAGATCCAGTGGGGAGGAAATTATTTCGGCTCGGCACTGAAGACAAAACCGTCTTCATCACCACAATTCAGCTTGAAGTTGAGGAAGCCTGGTTTTGATGTCAATGTATAGGTCTCAATTGTGTTTAAAATAAAATAAATGGTGTGTGGTTCATGTTCGTGTATATGTGCTGAAGTTCAATAACCGGTTATCCGACCATTACTTTAGAGGAGACCCGGTTATCCGACCATTACTTTAGAGGAGACCCGGTTATCCGACCATTACTTTTGAGGAGACAAGGTCATGCAAAAGTTGTGACCGTTTAAGCCCTATTTAAAAGTAAGAATCACGTACCTGCTTGGCAGACATTCGCCACTGTTCGTAACGCCGCACTGAAAACCTCCTCGATTTTTGGAAGGTCAGAGATACTCAAGATTGCGAGCATGTTGTCCAAAAGACGTTGTTCAACAATGATGTCTAAAATCACTCCATCTAGACAAAAAAACACACATGGTAAGCACATGCAAGCATGAATGTTCTAGAAATGGCTGACAAGTGCATCAAACCAATGAATATACCATGGAGGATAACTTGGATGAAATGAATTGGAACTTTCAGTCTTTCACCACTTCTTGGTCTGATCAACTCACAACCATCCATTTGGGAGCTGCATCTGAGCCTGGAGGAAGGAGGAGGGGGGGGGGGGGGTGCTCCTATAAGAGGAGGGAGAAAGGGGGGGGGGGGTTCCTATAGAGGAGGGAGGAAGGGGGTTGTTGTGAACCCCGCAAGATTCTCTAAATTGTCAGGATCGTACGACCACACGGCACGAGGACAACTCTTTTCCTTTACACAGTATATTTCACTTCATCTGATAATTAACAATGAACACTAATAACACCAGCTATTTATAGCATGCAAAAAACAGCGTACATGCAAAAACATAAGCAGATAAAACTGGACATAACAGCGTATACAGCAAAACGCACACAACGCATATAGCGTATGCCATGCAGCAACATCAGCGGTACGGCGGAGTCGAAATACAACATTTCAACGAATACAATGCCATAAGCGCGAAGGCCTTTCCCAATTGAGAACTGGTGGTTTACAACATTCTCCCCACCAAAGGGCTTCTCACCGCCGTACAACAATGCACACAAGTCAAAAACGATCCGGGGCTCTGACTACGCGCCCAGAACGCGTTATCTCCTGCTGCCGTGGTGGTGGTAACGGTGCTGACGGTTCATACGCTGGCTGCTGAGGGACGATAGCAGGTTGAGCGGTATCTGCAAGTCCAGGAGCCACGTCCTGTGACGATACTTCTAACGGCACTAACCTTTGGATCGGCCTCAACAGGGTACTGGTACTCAACTTAACCTTGGCAACACGACGCTTACCATCTCGACCAGGGAATAACTCGATGATCCGTCCCAAACGCCAGAACTGTTTGCGCTTGGTATCATCGAGAACAAAGACAACATCACCCACAGCTAAAGGGCGCGACATGGTCTGTTGGTGTTTGTTCAGCTGACTTAGGTACTCCACCTCCCAACGATTCTTGACATGCTCCAGTGTCCGACTGAGGTAACGCAATCTCGATGACATCTGCGCAGCGTCCAGGGTACCTGCTGGCTTCTCTGACGACATCCAGATGTTACCCATCATCATTGCAGGGGTTACTGGTGGCTCATCCAGGCTATCAGACACATAAGTTAGCGGACGACTATTCACCACTGCTTCAACCTCATACAAGAGGGTCTCAAGCTCCTGGACCTTCAGAAACGCTGTTCCCATCACCTTTTTCAAGGCACTCTTCACTGTACCAACCATTCGCTCATAGAAGCCTCCATGCCATGGTGCAGCTGGAGGATTGAACATCCATGGCACACTCAGTTTGTCAGATGCCGCCTTGAACGTTGTAGCGTTGTCAGACCTGATCCGAGACGGCAAACTACGTCTCGCGACAAACTTCCGAAATGCTATCAAGAATGACTCAGTACTTTAAACTATCGACCACCTCCAAGTGAACTGCTCTGGTGGTGGCACACACAAACAATGCTATCCATACCTTCGGAGATGACTCACCACGGCGCACGTACAACGGACCAGCATAGTCGATGCCGGTAGTTGCGAACGGCCTCTCGTGAACAACTCGGTCTTCCGGCAGCGGCGGGCAGACTTCTGAGGCAGCCTTAGCCTTGTAGCGGCGGCATGTAACACATCGCTGAGTAATGTTGCGTAGCGCCCGTCGACCACCGATAATCCAAAATTTCTGACGGAGGAACGACAAGACTCCTTCTACACCTTGGTGCATCCTTTCAACATGCATTTTCTCCAACAGCAACTCGGTCAGATGATGTTTGCCTAACAGGACTGGGTGCTTGGCTCCATACGCCAACTCGCTGTGCTGAAGTCGTCCCCCGGCTCTGAGCACTCCATGCTCATCCAGAAACGGTGCAAGCTGATACACCTTCGACCCAGGCTTCACTGGTTGACCTTGCTTGATCAGCTCAAGATCCTCAGCGAAACATGCGGCTTGAACGATGCGGTACAATACGTTGTCTGCTGCAAAATAGAGTTCAGCACGAGGCTCAGTGTGCTTCCACTGCAACATCCGAGTCACCATGCCCTGTGCCCTCGACCATTTACTGAATCGGAGCCACCATTCCTTATCAGATTCTCGACTACAGGTGGTGGCTGACACTCGTACCTCTACACTGGACTCATCTGTAGCTGCGGTTGAGGATGCGGTGGGCCAGTCATTGGGCTCCGTGATCCAGGTTGGTCCGCCCCTCCAGAACGGACTACGGATCTGCTGTGCACTACTCCCACGCGACGGTAAATCTGCTGGGTTGTGAAGGCCTGGGCAATGGTTCCACACAATGCCGACCTTCTTCGATATCTCTTGGACTTGACTGACGCGGTTAGCCACAAATGTTTTCCATTTGTACGATGGATTACTGATCCAATGAACGGTAGTGAGACTGTCAGTCCAGCCATAGACTTGCGTGACGGTCACACGCAGCTCCTTCACCACAAACTCAGCGTAGCGAGCCGCTAGACATACTGCTTGTAACTCAAGGCGGGCTAACGTGGGCGGAGACACAGGTGCCACTTTGGCCTTGGCAAATACCAAGTGCGACTGTCCATTGACGACGGCATACAAACAACATCCAAACGCTTTCTCACTGGCATCGGCGAAGGCATGAAGCGCAATCGGCGTGTCAAGATTGCAGCAAATCCAACGTGGTATGTCAATGCTCACCACTTCGGCCAACTCTCCCCACCATTGCGCACATGCGGCTGCGATGCCATCAGGCAACATATCATCCCAGTCGCCTCCGACTTTCCAGGCTTGCTGTAGCAGTATCTTTCCCGGCACAACTGCTGGTGCTGCTAGACCTAGCGGATCAAACACTGATGCAACACACTTGAGGAGGGATCGCCGGGTCCAAACAGACGGCCTATCGGACTCGCCTAGCGCTGCTATGCTGAGCAAGTCATCACTGGTTTTCCATTTCAGACCGAGGACTTTATCTCCGGCCTCTGGATCGCACGGGATTTCGTTGCCTCGCCACTTGCGTAACTCCATGCCAGCATCCGTAAGCACACGCACGCTGAACTCTTGCATCTCCTTGGCTTCCGAGGCATTTGAGACACTAGAGACCAAATCGTCAACGTAGAAACTCGTGAGCAAGAGATCAATACGATCTCGCTCTTTGGGTGCAGACAACGCCCGTAGCTCCTTCAAGTGATGCTGAATCACCGCAGTAAGCATGTACGGCGAGCAGTTTACGCCAAATGGCAGTTTCGTTAGCCTCCAGGTTAACAGTTCATCGCTGTCGCTTCGACCGGGCCACAAGAAACGCAGGTACGGACGGTCTTCGGGATTAACCGCGACCATGAAGAAAGCCTTGCGGATGTCCGCTTGCAGCGCGCTCTTATATTCACGGAACCGTAATAGCATACCTGCGAGACTCGGCAACAGCGACGGTCCAGGGTCAACCATGTCGTTCAACGACTTGCCATCTGGAGCCGTCGCCGAGGCATTGAACACCACTCTTAACTTCGTGGTTGCAGCGTGCTCGCGGAATACACCATGATGCGGTACATAGTACCCGGCATCGCTCTCACATGGCTCCAGCTCAATTGCTCCAAGCTCACGGTACTCCCTGATCAGCACATCATCATAGAGCGCACGCTTCCCATTTCTCTTCAGCTTTTCAAGAAGCCGCGTTGCGATGACTCTAGCTTGAGTAAAGTTATCCGTTGGGCGACGCTCATTTCGCCACAAGAGACCCACTTGGTACCCGCTGCCCTGGCGACATAGCGGGAACGATGGCAGGTGCTGATGTTGTTCTGGAGGTTCATCCAACTGCCATAGTTGTTCAATGTGGGCTGTGACACATGACACGGTCACCGGCTGACTGTTTCGACTTGGTGCAGACGCTGGACCAGATAATACATTACCTATCTCTGTGTTCCACACCGTCTCACCATTAACTTCCTTCTTGCTGTGCAGTACCGCGTTGATATAGTCTGCACCAATCAGCATATGTATTTCGTCTGATGTCCCTTGTTGAGGCTTGTCACTCAGCTCTACTCCCCAACTGTGCCACTGCGCAATGGTCTGCGGACTTGCGCACTTCAGGTCCAGCTCAAGCGTTGGTTTCACGAACGCGCGTACCCGAATGCTAGCGGAGCTACCCTGGATCGTGATGGCGTACTTATCCATGCGCTGTTGGGTTGGTTCCGCGCCGAACGGCTTCACCTCTACATTTTCAACCCCAACGTGTTCTGCATCGATTGCTGACACCAACGCTGCAGTCACGAATGACGCCTCAGCACCCGAGTCCAGGAACACTCGAACCTTCGCGTTTCGAGTTCTTCCCTCAACTCGTGCCACTCCGGTCATCAGCCGCACACTTGGCGAGTGTAGACAGCACGACCCAACATTCTTCTCCGTAACTATCTCAGTCGGTTTCTCCCGGCTGTAACCTGCTCTATCCAACACATCATGTATTAGCAGGTGGTGTTTCCTCTGGCATTTCGTGCATCTCGAGCCTGACCGACATTCTCTGGCCATATGGCCATACTTAAGGCAGTTCCAGCAGAGTCTCTCTCGCTGCAGAAAACCCTTTCTCTCTTCCTGTGGCAGCGACTTTAGCTGCTTCTCTGCATCTGCGACCGATATCGCCATGCACTGTGCCGACGCCGTGGGCCTTGGCACGGATCGTTCTACTGGCTTCCTGGCAGTATCACCCTGTCGTCCGTGCGCGACCTGGTAAGACGCGCCGTGCTCCTGTACCTGGCGCAGTGACATCCCGTAGCACTGCCGTTCGACCAGGTACGTCTTCATCTCAGGTCCGCATTGCTCCAAGATTACCTGCTTTGCCATTGCTTGCAGCACCGGGGACATTTTTCCTATATCGGAGCTATACTTGGTGTCCACCTCGCCATCTTCTGTCATAGCGAGTGTGGCCCACACCTCTACCTCTCTGCAAACACGGACAACGTATTGATGAAACGACTCATCTGACCGCTGCTTGCCTGTCAGCAATGTCTTCCACGCTTTATCCGGAGTCTTTCCGAGCGAGGCAAGCAACTCTCGTTTTGCTTCCTCGTAAGTATTGCATCCAATACATATCCTCTCCGCTTTGCTACCCGCTAGCGCAATGCGCAGTCGCAGCAGCCATTCGCTTTCTTCGAACTCGTTCTTGGAACAGATGTCCTCGAACAGGTCAAGATAACGCTCCAATGGCTGCGTTCCATCATATGAGGGGATTTTCATCACCGGTTGACGCCCACCGCTGTGACTGGGAGATTCCTCTGTACCTCCCATCGTGGCTTTACCCTCACCCTCCTGCGCATTGGCGATGCGCTCGTTAATCTCCTTTAGTGTTTTGGCAAACTCGGTGCGGAGCGCCTCCTCTCGCCGTCTGGCACTGCGCTCCTCACGCTCCGCGTACTGTTGGAGCCTCTGCTCCACATGTACCTTCAACAACTCGCCTTCTAATCCTAACCGCTCTCCATTGTCGATAAAGCTAGCTTCCAAATTGTTCCATAGTTCCTCTGCCATGCTCGCTCCTATCCTGGCGTGGTCGCCAAATGTTGTGAACCCCGCAAGATTCTCTAAATTGTCAGGATCGTACGACCACACGGCACGAGGACAACTCTTTTCCTTTACACAGTATATTTCACTTCATCTGATAATTAACAATGAACACTAATAACACCAGCTATTTATAGCATGCAAAAAACAGCGTACATGCAAAAACATAAGCAGATAAAACTGGACATAACAGCGTATACAGCAAAACGCACACAACGCATATAGCGTATGCCATGCAGCAACATCAGCGGTACGGCGGAGTCGAAATACAACATTTCAACGAATACAATGCCATAAGCGCGAAGGCCTTTCCCAATTGAGAACTGGTGGTTTACAACAGGGGTGGTGTTCCTATAGAAGAGGGAGGAAGGGGTTCCTATTGAAGAGGGAGGAAGGGGGGGGGGGGGGGTGTTCCTATAGAGGAGGGAGGAAGGGGGGGGGGGGGACAACCATCCATTTGGGAGCTGCATCTGAGCCTGGAGGAAGGGGGGGTGCTCCTATAGAGGAGGGAGAAAGGGGGGAGTGTTCCTATAGAGGAGGGAGGAAGGGGGTGGTGTTCCTATAGAAGAGGGAGGAAGGGGTTCCTATTGAAGAGGGAGGAAGGGGGGGGGGGTGTTCCTATAGAGGAGGGAGGAAGGGGGGGGGGGGGGGTGTTCCTATAGAGGAGGGAGGAAGGGGGGGGGGGATGTTCCTATAGAGGTTATACGATTACATTATCTGTTGAGATTCTTTGGCAAAGTCACGGCACAGCAGTGCACTAGCGACTCACGCTGTATACATAGCGCCCATGAGCGGTGACGCTGACTCGCCACCATGACATTATTCACATTACCTCTATATATATAGAGAGCGGGGAATATTCAGTGACGATTTTTGCTCCGAGTTGATTGGAAGCAGTATTATCAGTGTGTGATTCTTTGCTACTTGGTCCGACGTATTAACATGTGCGCTTCACTTCAAAACTCAAGCATTTGGACAAATGAGCACCAGAACTAAAAAAATCAACCAAGAGACGGTAGATAGGTAACTACTGTATCGTCTCTTGGGCTGACCTTCTAGTTTTCATCGCTGATGGTGTCTCTGGGCGCATCTGCAAGTGTGTCACCCTGCAAAACATCGACAGTTTTTCTTTGTCTCTTTCAAGCTACACTGCGCTTCCTTGATTGTTTCAATCAATACGCCCGATTTTGACGATCGCCTTCGCCTCTTCCTCATGCAGTGCAACAGCCAGAAAGGTAGCTGTAGGAGTTTTCACCCGACGTTCCCCACGATACCTTCCAATGAGGCGAACAGGTAGACTATCACTTCTCATCACCGTGTTCTGCATACTGACAGTGTGTGTCATGTGACAGTGTGTGTGTCATGTGACAGTGTGTGTCATGTGACAGTCCGACCGTGCGCGCTCACTCACCAATCTATGGGCCACTAGTGCACTGTCAGCACTGTCACTGGCACTAGTGCACTGTCAGCACTGTCACTGGCACTAGTGCACTGTCAGCACTGTCACTGGCACTAGTGCACTGTCAGCACTGTCACTGGCACTAGTGCACTGTCAGCACTGTCACTGGCACTAGTGCACTGTCAGCACTGTCACTGGCACTAGTGCACTGTCAGCACTGTCACTGGCACTAGTGCACTGTCAGCACTGTCACTGGCACTAGTGCACTGTCAGCACTGTCACTGGCACTAGTGCACTGTCAGCACTGTCACTGGCACTAGTGCACTGTCAGCACTGTCACTGGCACTAGTGCACTGTCAGCACTGTCACTGGCACTAGTGCACTGTCAGCACTGTCACTGGCACTGGCACTGGCACTGGAGACCAGACGGAGCTTTCGCGTAGGCTTGATGTAATGATGACGCTTTCGACTCCGAGAACTCCACACCATCCACGCACCGTATCCGCAACTTACAACGAACAAAGAGTATTGAATACTCTTTGTTCGTTTCAGTTTTACAGCCAGTTTCTCGCGTGAGAGGCGACTCCAGGGGTGGTTGTTTATTTCGATCAGCTTCTTGGCAATCTCTTCTGCGATCTTGATTCGTCGGCCGCCACATCAGTGGACGACTGCGAGAGACATCAGTGAACTGGACGACGCGATGTTTGTGCTGCTGCACGAGTTTCTGGATGATGCGGTTGCTGAAAGTCTGCCCAGGAAACAGCGAATGCAGCGATTTCGATCTGCCAGGAGGGAATCAAGAACGACCGCCCGGGCGTTTCTGGTACTCGGTGACAATTTTCCATCACATTGGGGTCTTGATATCAGCACCAGGCCTTCTCAGTGTTGCGCGTGAAGCAACAGGAGTCCTCTGACGACAAAATTTGAACGCAAAATACAGGAGTCGCCTAGGAGTTTGAGGCGCTGCCTCCTTTGGAGTTTGAGCCATTCCTTCCTCAATATCACAAATCAACAACTGAAGGACAGTGTTAGGTATCTGGGAAGTTTATTCCGTCTTGAGATTATTTGAATTTGTTTGGTAGGCTTCGGAAACGAAGCGCACATTTTAATAAGTCGGACCAAGTAGAACAGTGGCCCATTGATGACAACACCTGTGTGGCACATATACACGATTACCAGATTTTCTGGCGTCAAAAAGCCCCCATCACACCAGGCTTCCAAGAGCTACAAACAGGCTCCCCACTGTCAACATACTAGAGTACCTGTCAAGCAAACCTGTCATGTGTATGGGTGTGTGAAAACGCCAAACTAGTAGTAGTATGTAGAATGCGGGGCTAGCTCTGTTGGGACCCTCTGAAAAGGCACGAGTTGCACGTTGTATGCTTTATCACAGTATGTAGTGTCCGTAATCGTTTGCATATGCACTTATGGGAGGAACTCCGTGCGATGACAAAGTACAGTACAAAGCAGGAGTACGTCTTACCCGGGTACGTACTAAGTGAGTTCCACTGTACGAGTACGTGCGCACACACACGTACACCACGCAAATGTATGCACACGTACTCGTATGCACATGTACACACACACACACACACACACACACGCACACACACACACACACACACACACACACACACACACACAATGTACCACACGCACGCACGCATGCACGCACACCATGCACCACACGCACGCACGCACGCACACACACACACACACACACATACACAAAGTACACATTGCAAGCTCGCTAAACTGCCATTGTTGCTTTTGCTCGTGAATTGTTCTCGATGTTACTCTTTGCTGCACAACTTGTGATGTATACAGCATTGGCCTTTCTCCTCCTCCCGGTCCCCCACCCCTCTTATTTCATTCCATTCTCACATTTGCGTCCATGTAATTGGGCGCATAGCCTGTGCGTACTTGAGAATTCAAATAGAGAAATACATACAATACAGCATTGGGTACATACATACATGCATACATACATACATACATACATACATACATACATACATACATACATACATACATACATACATACATACATACATACATACATACATACATACATACACACAAGCTCAACTAACCGATCTTTGCACTCCCCAATGCAGAAAGGAATATCAACAGCATGTCTTGAGTGAAATCCACAACGTGCAACAGAGATGCATGCTCAGTTTCACGCGGACGGGTCTTCAAACGCATCAGGTACTCGGCAACCATTACCACCATGTGTCGCACTATCTGTTCGCCGTATACAATCGTTTCGAAGTCTTGAAGTTGAGCACCCAGGTCTTTTTCAGTGCTGGCTAGAGCAAGAAGTGATGAACGGAAGTTCTGCTCGTAGACGCCCAGCGCGACGTTGGCAAGATCAAGAGCCATGAGAAACAACCGATGACTGCTCTGCATCCACAGACACATGTGCAAGCACACAGGCACAGGAGCAGAAGCAGACCTCGGGCATAGCCCCAAACATCCATACCAAGTACATGCCCCCCCCCCCCTTCCCCGCTACCCCCGTGTTGAGAACAAGTGCCATATTACTGCTTCAATACTAACTTGATCCTAAATCACACCTTTGCGACACGCTTTAATATGCTGAACAACTTGAAGAAAAGGCTTTGTGTGTCCGCCAATATCGGCTTTTCTCGTTTCCAGTCTCCGATTCTTGTTACATCTTTCCCTCCCTCTGCCCAGCCGTTGTCCATTCACCCGTCCGACTGTCTGTCTACTCATCCTTCATCCTGTCTGTTCTGTCTGTGTGTGCATTCACCTTATCTGCCAACGAAGGGCATCTTTTTGATAATAGGTTATTCGGACTACGGCCCACTGTGATCACGTTTCTACGATTCAGACTTATTTGATCAGCGATTGTGCATAACATTTTGAAACACGACTGCATCACCATGGAAATTCAAGTCCACACGTGATTTTGGCCGTAGTCTGAATCGCCTATAAGTGCAGACGGGGGGGGGGGGGGGGTGCATTTGATATGCCTTGGTGCACAGCGTGTTAGCAGCCAGAAAAGTGCACTAACGTTAACTACACATACAGCTGACCACTTTGCATGGACAGAGAGGCAGAGAGACAGAGAGGCAGAGAGACAGAGAGACAGAGAGACAGCGAGACAGAGAGGCAGAGAGGCAGAGAGACAGCGAGACAGAGAGGCAGAGAGGCAGAGAGACAGAGGACATGTAAACAGGATACATACCTGCTGGTTACCGAGAATGGAGCAAATGAAATGAGAATAGCTGAACATGAAAGTGCGCAACGGGCAAGAGAGACCTGGGAATGGAAAAAAATGCAGCGCACGTTGTTCACCACTACAAGCATGTATATGTATATTAGCGTTCAAAGGACATAACACAAAGACTGTGCACATGGATACACGCAAAATAGTACCTCGCCATGTATAAACACAGCTAACAAGTTATTTGACCTATCCATCTCTGACATTGTGAAATTATCGACCACAACTAAAAACTACGCGGTCTTCAGACCCCTGTTGTGGCGCGATTTCCTGGCCTTTTCGTGGAGACAACTAGAAGACTGTATTTACTTATTGGTTTCAACCACACTCTCAAATCAACCAGAAAACAAAAACAACGATCGCCAAATCGCTGTCATCAGCAAAACGTGCTCGCGTGCGTGCATTGGCTTACGTGTAGTCTACGTGTACATCAGTGTGCGTGCATGCATATCGAAGTGTACGAGTAGAAAAGAAGAATGATCATGCGCGCGCATGATGCATCGATGAGTCATACCACCACGTAACCATGGATATAAATAATGGCGACGCGATGGCGACAGCAAAGTTCCGCGTACAAAAGCGCAGGTGCAACAAGGAAAAATCAGAGTGCAGAACAAACAGAAATTCAAATCGAAAGGAGATAAATATTGTGGAGATGAAGCAAATCAGTTTGGTCTGTCAGAGGGTGCTTGCGCCCAGAGACAGGGTGACAGCAAACCCTGTCAGAGAGAGTCAGTGTACAGAATAGGAATACATAGAACGCAGCACGCAGTGGAGTTGCTGTGGAGAGCGAGAATGCAAGCAACAACGTAAGTATTATCTATGCAACTGATTATATCGGCGTATCCGACAAACACGCACAACAAACACTGTATTGTAACAACACACTCGTAAATGATGTTATCACAACAACACTCATTCTATTTCAGCGCAGTGTCCTGTCCAATCACACTCAAAATCACACTCGTAAATCTCGCACACTCCCTCCTTGACAATATGACAACTGACACTCATAAATCTCGCACACTCCCTCCTTGACTATTCAATAGTCAACTACATTACAACACTAGAATAGAAAGATGCGACTGCTGGTGCACTGCCATACTCACAACCTGTTGGCACTGATAAGCTGTTGTCGCTCCTGCTGCGCTCGCTGAGCTGCAGCCCGACGTGGGCGTGTCTGCCGGGTGTCCGGAACTGGGCTGGCGTCTGCTGCGTCCTCGACAGGCGTGTCGTCCGCTGCATCAGGCATCTGCTGCGTCGACTTTTCAGGTGTCGCTGCGGTTGGTGATACGACAAGCTGTTCAACCGGATAGAGGCGATGAATCGGCCGGTTTAGCGTTGTCGGTCGGCCGCTCTTCTTGTTGTGCGCACCACAGCTCCTCGCACACGACCATCCTCGCTTGGACGCAAGCTGTCTACGACTCCCAGCTTCCACAGGCCGCGTTGAACCCCGTCTTGGTGAATCACCACAATGTCACCCACGGCGATAGTATCAACATCGGTGTGACGTCCGATACGGTGGCTGTTCCGGAGCTCCAGCAGGTACTCATTCTTCCACCGAGACCAGAAGTGACGCAGGAGTTCTTGCAGATAGGCATATCTGCGGCTTACAGGCACTTCGTCAGGATCGTTGGCGACCATGTCAGGTAGTGACAGAACTCTTCGGCCACATAGCAGGTGAGATGGCGTCAGCGGCTCTCGTACATCCTCCGTCGAAACGTGCGTCAACGGGCGCGAGTTTAGAATTGCCTCGACATCTGCGAGTAATGTCAATAGCTCGTCAGCTGTAATCTGCGCCGACCGCAGGACCTTCTTGACGCATCGCTTGACACTCTTGATGAGTCGCTCAAAGAAGCCACCCCACCAAGGTGCCTTCTCCAGATCTTGCGCTGTCCGCACATGAAACGGACCGGCGAAATCAACGCCTGTGTGCTGAAACGCGTAGCCGACCTGCGTGCGAAATTCACTCAGTGGAGGTGGCGGTGGTCCCGCGTACGGCTTGCCCTCCAGCATCTTGCAGAGTCTGCATCGGTGCAGCAACATACGCACGTACTGACGACCACGACATATCCAGAACTGAGCTCGTAGCTCCGTCAGCGTCTCTGGTACACCATTGTGCAGCACTCGCTCGTGGCAGTCAGCGACGATCAACTCGGTGACGTGGTGCCCGGGTATCAGCAGTACTGGGTGTTTCTGGCCTGCCGACAGATCCGCTGCCTGCAATCTTCCACCACACCTTAGCAGACCTGACTCATCTGCGAAGATGCCAAGCTGCTTCTTAGCCTTGGCGATGCGGTTGGTTGCGTCTGGTGCTGACTGCTGCACGTCAGCAATCCATAGCCGTTGCGCTTCATCTAGCAGTACCGTCTCTGCGGCTGCTTCGTCTCGTCGGCCTTGCACGAGCTTCACGAACTTCAACACGTACGCTGTAACTCGCCGCAACTTCTGATAGGAGCTGTACTGTGTGCAGTCCATAATGGCGCTGATGCTGCTGCTATTTGCGTCGGTAGTCACCAGACTTGTGACCTGAGCTGACTTCTTTAACTCTTGCCGACACTCCTCAGGGACTTGCTCTCCCTCCGTGAAGCTCGTACCCGGTGGTCGCTCACTCTCTCTGAGCCATGCTGGGCCTGTTAGCCAGACCGACGTATGCAACTCGTCCGGCGTAGCACCACGTGACGGAATGTCGGCTGGGTTCAAGGTGCCTGGGCAGAAGTCCCACACACTGACGTCGGTGAGTCGCCTGATCTCGCACACCCGGTTGTGCACGAATTGCTTCCACTCCTGCTCCGTGTTGGTGATCCAACCCAACGCAACTCGTGAGTCGGTCCAGCAGTGAGTCGATGCTACCGTGATCTGCTTGTCCAGGGCTTGGCGTACTGTGACCAACAGACGGGCGAGCGTCAACGCTGCGAGTAACTCGAGCCGTGGGATGGTCTGTTTCGCTGTCGGTGCTACTCTGGTCTTTGCCATGGCGAACTGAATGGACACGGTCGCTGCCTCGATCCTCAGGTACACGACGGAGGCAAACGCGGCTTGTGAAGCGTCACAGAACCCGTGTAGCGACACTTTGGCGTCTGCTGTAGCGCCGCTGAAATAGCATCGTGGCATGCGCACTGGTGCTGCTCGCTGAAGTGCACTCATCAAGGATGCCCACTCCCGCTCCTGTTCAATTGATAGCGGTGAATCCCAGTCCAGACCGGCGACATGTAGCTGCTGCAAGAATATCTTGAGCTTGACCGTGACTGGCGATACTATGCCGAGTGGATCGAACAACCGTGCCGCTTGCGATGAGACAGTACGCTTCGTAGGCCGTTCCTTTGCTGAGTCGAAGACTGACGCGATGTCCACCGTTATGCTGTCAGTCTGGCGGTCCCACGTGACACCCAGAACCTTGTCACAATCATGGGGCTGTACATTCAGTGATGCCTTGGCGTACGTGGAGTCGTCTTCGCACGCTGCCCCGGAGCTAGGGTGAACTGCAGCCGTATCTCCTTCTGCGCGGTTGATGTGCTCTTGCACAGCTGCGGAACTTGACGCAAATTTGCGTATATTGAACCCACCATCAGCCATGCGGACCTTGAGCTTTGTGTACAGCTCCACCGCTTCCTCGTCATCCGCTGCGCCGGCTGCCAGGTCATCGACGTACATGCTGCGGCTGATTTCATCAACGAATTCTGGATCCTCTTGCCGGTACTGCTCGAGATGACGTTTCAGTGTGGCGTTGAGGAGGAATGGACTCGATGTGAGCCCGAACATCACGCGAGCGAACCGGTACACCTGCACTTGCCGCTCGCTCGAGAACGGCCGATCCCACCACAGGAACCGCAGCGCATTCCGGTCGTGCTCGCATACGTTGAGCATGAGAAACGCCTTCTCAATGTCACCAGTCAGGGCAACTGGATAGCACCGAAAGCGGAGGAGGATGTCTGGGATGTGCTCCAGCAAATTCGGCCCGGAGTGGAGGCAGCTGTTGATGGAAGGATTCTTCCCTGCGTGTGCTGAGGCATCGTACACCACCCGCACCTTGGTGGTAGCCTTGTCCTTGCGGACCACTGCTTGGTGGGGAATGTAATGAACTTCACCCACCTCGCCGACTTCGTTTGCTGGTACCTCTTCAATGACGCCAGTTGCCAGCTGCTCTGCCATGACACGGGCATACTCACTGAACACGTCTGGCACCTTCTCGATCTTGTTGGTGAGAGACAATAGCCGCTTGTGGCTCAGTCCAAAATTGTCCGGCAGCACAGCGTGGACTTCTTTCCACGGGAGGCTCACAGTGTAGCGGCCGTCAGCAAACTTGATCGTCTCGTCGAACGCTGCTTGCACTGGGTTCCCATCTAAGGGCTGGATACCGAGAGACTCCAAGTCCCAGAACCGCTTTAGCTGCTGCTCTAGCTGCTCAGCCGTGACCGCGAACACGTGCGTTGCTGCTGAAGCTGGTGCTGATGGCTTGGGACAACCGGACAAAACCCAACCAAGCTTTGTCGCTATGGCAACCAGGGTATCACTGCCACGGATGACGTTGCCCTCTGTGAATTCCCAGTAGTGGTCTGCACCAATCAGGATGTCCACATTGGCCGCGCCAGTGCAATCATCAGCCAGTTGCAATGTCGAGAACGGTGCGAGCGACTCCGCTACCTCGGTCGGAAATTGCCGGCTGATCGGCGCGCTGATCAAGGGAACGGCTACTGCTGCCACTGACACTGGGCTCCCCTCCAGTGTAGCGATGCTTAGTCGCACGACGTCGACTTCCTTTGGCGACCCGTGCTGTGTGCCAAAACCACGTATGGCCAGCTGCTCCGTGTGGTCCGTCGGCAGGTCCAACTGTTGACGCAGGCTGTTTGTTACATATGACCGCTGGCTGCCCAAATCCAGCAAGATGCGGGCTTTGAGCTGACGGTTCGGGTCTTCCTGTGAGGCCACCGCTGCCTTGGCCGTCTGGAGTAGCGGTGCCGATGCCTGCGACATGGCGGAGCACGTTCCGGAGAATGTCTGCTGCCCGTCTGCGCAAATGGTGGTGTGATGCCGT